ATTTGATAATCATATCGCAATAGTTACATAAAACAGGTAATGATCATGAGAAAAAATATGTACCAATCAGCTTTAAGTTTTTGCCTTCGTTTTAGATGCCAGTAAAACCATACACTAACGTTCCTGGTACGTTCCTGGTAATCATCCCTGCACCGATATTTCTATATTTGGACTGACTTACCGGGCCGAATGAGTAATTTGGGCAAAAAGGAGGCAAAAGGGCAAAAAAGAGGAAAAGGTCAAAAAAGTAGGATTTAGGTAATATAATCAAAAATAGACATGTAATGAATTTTATTATAAACAAAGACTACTTTTGCTTACAAAATATAACTTATAATCTTAAAAGTGTATTTATTAAAAATATAGCTTATGCATAATACATATTAGACATAACTTATTATACCGTACATATGGCTAATTATCGATTATTGGACCCTGAATAGAGTCACCAAATTTAGTTTAAACCCCTTGTTTAATTTTGTTTGATTGGTCTGACGAATTCTTAGGGTGATTGTTTTGATTTAATGAGGTCTATTCTGCACGATTCTGTAAGAAGTATTTAATGAATATGCATAAAACCCATTAGATTATCATCTATTGTTATGAGTAAATGGTCAAAAGAAACCTTTCGCCTCAGTCAATCAGACAATTGTATTGTCAAACAACCTGTCCCACTACGTGTATCAAAATTTTTGGGGTTCTCCCTCTTGCATTATTATACAATTAGCCCATATGACGTATTTAACCATGTATTTATTGAAAATACCACTTATGCTTAATACTTATTATACATATTTAGCCATGTGTATCACGGACTTAACATTAATTGGTATTGTATCCTAAAATGGATTAAATTAATTTCAATTAACAATCATTGCAAAGCAATCGTCAAATGGTGATTATTAAATAGTTCAAATATCATCGGTATCTAAGGAGTTTTGGTGTTTTTAAGCTTCTTTTTCAAAATTTCTTATAAATTAATCTGATTAAAAATTTTAAATAAATAGGTAATATTTGTCCAGCATTACTTCTTTGACATGGTTTTAGAACTTGCTGAATCACAGTACCAACTTTACGGAAATATTGTGGGAGTATGGATGAACGAAGATTACGTGATTATAACTTACAATTCCAAATTAGCCCAACAAATTTTTGATCAAAATCAACCCAATTTAAAAAACTTTATTACAAATACGGATAACGTTTATAGTTTAAAAGAAGTCGGAATACACCAAAAAGGGATTATTCGTAATAAAGACATCCCAAAATGGTCCTCACCAAGGCGTATATTACAATTTGACTTAGATTCGGATATTTGTCAAAAGGTTTCTGATATTGTAATCATTTTTGAGACGGCTCTGGGAACTCGTGATGTTAAGGCTCAAGATTTTTTTCTATTAAGTTTGTGTAATTTATGGCAACTTTTATGTTACCGAAAGTCTGTTCTGAGTATTGTCGTAAATTCCAACTCACAAATATACTCCTTCCTACATCACTTTCGTAGTTATACAACTGAAATAGTCAATTTTGCAAGTGTTTTTTACACCAAAAACAAAAATTTTGATAACCAGATAATGAATTTAATTAGTTCTTCAAGCGATTCAATCTTAAAAGATGACTTGCTGGAATCTGTGCGGCTAATAGATGTTGAAATGATTGTTGCCAGAAAGTTTTGGGGTGATTGTGATGTTTCAAAAATTCATATTCAAGCAAGTATAGATCGTTTTATTAAACTTGTGTGTATGAATCACCGATTTGTATTTGCAAAGTTAGAGGAGAAAAGTAAGATTATTAATACCAAAACAAAATGGAAAGTTACACAGCAACCAGTTATTGAAAACTTTATTAATATCCTTCCAAGAAAAAAGATTGTTATAATTGGTGCTCATAGTGTTGGTAAATCGACTATTGCGAGAATTATTAAGATTCATAATAATAATGCAATCTTAGTTAATGAGATTGCAAGAACTATAATAGAAAAATTTAAAATAGACGTGAATACTCTTAAAGATGACCCAGAAAAATATTTTAAATTTCAGGCATTCATTATTAGAAGTCAGTGTATAATAGAAGAACAAATCGAACATAAATTTGCAATTCTTGACCGAAGTATATTAGACACCATAGTATATACTCAGATTTATTGTAAAAAGTTATGGAAAAAATTATTATGTATGAAAAAGGTAATTAAACGACTTGAACACTATAGACAGCATAATGAATATATCTTTTTTCTAATCGAGCCAAAAAAAGAATGTTTGGAGAACGATGGCATCCGAATGGTGCCAAAAGATATTGACGAATTGGTGACATTCTCTAACGACCTCAAAAAGCTAATGGATGAATTTAATATTAAATATCATTTAGTAAGCGATTTAGACGTAAACCAACGATACTCAAAAATTATGAGTACAGTGCTTGTGTATAATTGACCATCTTTTGTTTAATATAATATCTAATGTAAAGTATGTTGAAAAGATCCACTCATATCATGATTACTTTATACAAAACATTTACTTATCTATTTTATTCTACTTTCTTTATTCATTTCCTTCTTTTGTATCTGCTATTATTATTATCATACTGTATTTCTATACATAACTTCAAATTTAATTTAATGAATGACGAAAATTTTAGTCAAAAATAAATTAGCCATGTGAAGTTATTTTTTTGATTGAATTTTTTTTTATAAATGCGTTGAACGAAGTCACAAGGCATTCATTTGTCACGAGATCACAACCCATACTCATGACACCATATGTGCGTCGGGGAAGGGTAGGTGGTTTATAGTATGAGCTACACACTGGCAATCATAAATAATGCAGCAAAAAATTTTTTTTATTAAATTGCATTATTTTGTACAATTCCAGTTATATCATTTTATTTATTTTTTTATTTTACTCCTAAATTGTACAGTATTCACATATTAAAATCTTAGAAAGTATTAATGAGGCAAATCTTTTATAGGCACGAGCTTTAGGGACACTTAAAGATCACTGAACCCAGTGATCGATGATCACATGATAAACATATCATGACGTCATTTGTTTACCAGAACTAAACAAACTGGCCTGAACTAACCCCTACTAACCCTAAACTAACCCTAACCTAGGCCGAGTGATTGTCATGTGATACTGTGAGGATCACTGGGTTTAGTGTTCTTTAATCTTCCCCGAGCTTTATTTAAAATTACATGTTGCAATATTTTTGCTCATTTTAAACACAACACAACATAATACATAAAAATTTTTTTTACCTATAGAAAAAATTTTTTTACTTTAATATTTTATGGCTGCCACAACATAATGCAACCGTTTTGTGCCTTGATAGCTTAATGAACTTATTCTGGCATTGAGATAAATTAATGAATTTTATATTTTATTGCATATGCGATATAATGCATGTAACACAATAATATACAAACAATGCAGTTATTAATCAAAAAGTGATTTTAATATATAGTACCAGGTTAATGATGCAGGAACCAGATCAATAATATAAATAAAGTGATCATAAAATGATTCAAACTCTTTTAGTTTTTTAATTTCATTTGACAAGTGTATTATAGGAGCTTAATTTGAGTAATACTACCTATTTAATAGCTATTTAATGAAATATTCAAAACTCTTTTTGAAAGTGTCTCAAAAGAAATAAGAATGAGGGGTAGGTTTGGTCACATTTAGTCATGTTTGGTCATTACATTTGATTACATTTTGTCTTGCAAATATGTTTTAGTAAAGCTAATTAATAGATAACAAATTAGACAATAAAACTTATACTTGCAAAATATGAATGATACTGAAATTATAGAGATTATTGGTCTTTCCAATAGCAACACAAATAATGCTGAAGATATAGAAAACATAAATTACTTTGCTGATATTATTGAAAAAAACATGGATAACTTGGATACCAGTTCTCAAGTAACTTCAATTACCAGCAATGCTGAAAATGATGTGTCAAATTATTTACTAGAAAAAACTACCAAGTTGGGCATTATGTGATTTATTTATTGATGAATGAGATAGAAGTAAGGGATTTAATGTAGTTAAGGATTGTGTTATCTGTAAAAATAATATTATCAGAAAGAGAATATGTTTGTTGACATGGTTAATATTATAAATCCAATTCTAATAAAGAAATAGACACTAAAAAAAATTTATATGAATGGCATATAAATATCTCTTGTTCCAAATTAAAAAATTCAGATTTTGCTATTTTTATCAATACATTTGTTGATAAATATAATTATGAATTAAATGTTAATGTTATCATATTTGAATAGCAAAAAAAATTTAGCAAATAAATGTTAGATAATATAGAGTTTTTAACTAAATACTGTAAAATAGGTGCAACAGTAAAAGACAATATTTGAAAAATAAATATCTTTCTAAACCCATTTATAGTAATGATTTATTAGTAAATTTTGATTTAGTGCTAAGTTTCTTTTAAATAATACTATACAAATATCCAATTGGCTTAATACTCAAAAAGAAAAAGACTCAAGATAGGTTGTAGCAAGAAATATAATATATTTATTTATTTAATATGAATGACACCAAGTAAATTAAAAACTAAATACAATTTAGTGCTTGTGTTTGCAATAATATTATGCATAAATGAATAAATATAGAATGCCTTTATTACTCTTTGTAGAATTTGACCATGATAGACAAAATATTTTTCTTGCTCAAGGATTAATTGCAAATGAAAGTCAATGGTCTCATGTTTGGTTTTTTAAGCAGATCCTTAATGCTACTAAAATATGACAACAGCAATTCAGATCCTGCTATTGATGCTGTGGTAAAAAAAGTATTCACAACAACCTATCTAATACATTGTGCAATTCATATTTTGCAAAATCTTCATAAAAACCTTTGAAGCTTAAATGGAAACTAATACACTAATTTTCTTAAAAACTTCTATAAATGTAGAAATAGTTTAGTTCAGGTTACATTTAATGAATGATTTACTAAGTTAATTGATGATTATTCAAAAAGCAAATTTTATTTGAATATTCTGTATAAGATAAAAAATATTAAGCTTATTTATATATTTGCTTTAAATTCACTGAAGATATGATTGCTTCATCAAGAGTCAAAGGCATGAATGCATGTCTCAAAAGAATTTTATATAATTCCAACATTTTGCTTAGTGAACTTATACATAAAATACGTAAGTTATTTGATCAACAAGATAGTCAAAATCAATAATGATATTGGAAACTTGCAATACCAACAGTCATAAAAATTGAACAAGCAAACTTTCTATTAACAGAAGTTGACAAGTGTTGTCAAAAATTTTAATGCTAACAATTTTAAAAATGTAGCATAATAAGATTAATTAGTCTCTTTATTATAATGCTTTTTTATTTACTCAAGTCATTGTTACATTTGATAATAAAATTAAAATTAATGTATCAAATGCTGAAGATAATTATACTGATAATTCTAAAGCAACTATATAATAGATATTAGAAGTTGTTAAAGAAGATAATATCAATGAAATATAGGAAATCAAGATAGGAAATTTTTTAAATGCAAAGCATTACATTGTTATTTTAAAAAATAACAGTCATCTTTGTTTATGTCTTACAATCATTCAACAGGGTATCATTTGTTAACACTATTTTTAAGTTATATTAAATAATAATAGAGCCAAATTTTATATTAGAATAATCTTGTCCTGTTGGTATCAAAAAGATAAAGAAGCATTATATGAACTATTTATTATTGCTAATAAATATTTAAATGAAAAATCTATTGTTTTGCAAGAGAACAATAGACCAATCACTTATTTATATGCTATTGACAAAGAAAAGATCAATTTTGTTAAGAAACAAATAAATATTCTTGAATGAAGAGCAATATATTGAACTCTTCACAGAGTCTATAAAAAGGTTAAAAAAAGCTTTACAGACTAAGTCAAGGTGAAGACATTTAATTGAGGTATTACAAGAATTTGCTAAAAATAATAATCAAGTTGACAACTTTGCAAGCAATAGAGAAAACATAAGCGATAAGAAAATCTAAGTAATGGGGAAGACTTAAGTGATAAGAAAAGCCTAAGTAACAAAGAAAACCTAGGTACTAATGCATTTAAACTACAAAATCCAAAAGGAAAGCGAGGCAGAGGAAGGCTAGCTAATACAAAATGATTTAAAGCATCTTATGAAGCAAATCAAAATAAGGAAAACAACAATGGTGTTGTAAAAAATGTGGTAATTATGGTCACTATCAGAAAAATTGTGGTGGTTAATGCTGAATAATATATAGTCGATTCTCCAAATACAATTTTATAAGAAAAATTTATAAAGTGTAAAAGTATATAAGCTTCAGATATTGTCAAACATATGTATATATAAGTTAGTAATTGTATTCAGAAAATCTGACTGTATTGTAGTATTAGTATGCATGTTTGTAATCTGCTTTGTTTATATGCTCTATTGCTATGAAATTTTATTTCTTTTAATTACAGCATTGTTTACTGCATAATATATATAGAGCTATGATCGAATATACTTTATATAATACGTAAGTACTTAAGATAATAATTTGTTATAATCGTGACTATTATAGACGATCTCTAAAAATAGATAACTTAAACTGTTGATATATGTGCGAGATCTACTAGTATAAAATAGTAAATATGTAATAATAATTAATATATATGAAAGTGTTAGCAATATACTTTGTGCATGACTATCTTCATATAGTCATATTGTTGATTTTAATAACAAACTTCATGTTGTGTCTTCATACACGTCTACCTAAATTTGTAACTTGTAATTCTTTAATTGTTGTCATATCCATGTGAGACTTGTGGTAATCAAGTTATTTTCCAGCCCTACATATCTTCATATACGTTTGAGCTGTTGCCTTTTTCGATAAAGCCTCAGTAAAACCTCTTTGCTAAGTCGTTCATATGATATATCCTTAATTCACCAAATCTTCATAATAATAGTCTGAGACAGACTAACCCATAGTTCCCGGAGTTGTGTAACAATAGAAAACACAATAATTTTAGTACTAATGTAAGTAGTTAGCAAAAATAGCAAGTTTTGTAATAGAATTATTTATGCAACTCATGATAGAAAATATAATATTTTAATACACAACTTAAACTATATAAAAACAATAATAATTTAATCATCGGAATAGCAAGCAAGTTCTTGAAAGAATTTGTTGCAGAAACTCATGAGAGAAATCACAATTTCATTATGAAATAATTCAACCTTAACTAAATAGAAGTCTTGATGATTCCAATACAAACCAATTTAACTTAATCATATACTGTGTCAATGAAATAGTAAGTTTTATAACAATTTTTTACAGTAATTCATGACAGAAATTATGACAATTATAATGCCAAGTAACAATTTTTAAATAAAAACTCACAATCTAAATCATGATAACTCTAATACAAAACAACTCAATATTAACTAAATCGAAATCACAATAATTTCACAAAGCATAGTTTTGTATATCCTGACATTTGCATTATTAAATTGCATAAATTAAGCCCAATTCGTATAATAGCTCGCATAATAAGTGTGCACTGTATTTTTTAGTCAATGAAATTTCTCAAATCAAATAAAACCTAGAGTTTGGAACGGTTTATATTTTTATATAGTAAAACTGGATTTAATCGGGTTTAATGTTTTAATAATACTGTAATACTAATACATATCGGTATCGGTATAATTTAAATTGACTAATGAGATAAATATTATCGTTATGCGTATCTAAGATCATAATATTGGTTCAACTAATTAATTTTATTCAGTATAAACTATATGCGTACACGTTATTTTAATTTATGTGATAAAAAATCATGAATACATATTTTTTTTTACTTGCTTTAAGTCTACATCTGGTTCTAATTTAAATATGTATACACAAAAGTAGCCCTATGTGTTGACGATAGTCACGCTAGGGTTATTATCGCGAGGATAACCTGATTTGTGGCTTATATGAAATTGAGGCTTATGTGAAAAGGTAATAGCATATGATTGTATGCAATGGAGATTATAGATATACATGTGATAGATATTATAGGTACATACGTATGCAGAGATTATAAAGATACATGTGGAAAATCTCAGTGCTTTCTTACTTCGCTTGTCTTGTCACTTGTTCTCTTCAATGCCCGATTAGAATCTGGCTCCCATCCCTCCCGCCCTCTCTCTTTCTCATTCATTGCACCTAGTGCTCTGCCTGTTGTTATGTGAAATGAGTTGAATGCGCTGCACCATAGCGTGGGCTCGAACTCGCTATTTTATGTGGACGTTGTCATGTGTACTGAGTTGAAGCGTGGGGTCAAACTCGCTACACTTATAAAAATTGATAGTCATGTCTAAGGAGTTGAATGTGCCGCTATATAAAAATTGATATCATGTATAATGAGTTGAATGCGCCGCACCATAGCGTGGGCTCGAACTCACTATTATAAAAATTGATGTTGTATGTAACAAGTTGAGTGGGCTTGAACACACAAAAAAAAAAAAAAAAAAATAGTAGAATGTGCGCCACACCTTAGTGTTGGCGATTCTCAATTATTTTTCGTCACGTGAGCATATTCACGTGTATATAGAGTTATTATGAGCACAATATGTAATAGCAAAAGAGAAAGTGATGAAGTAGAGCACTGCTCTCATCATGTATCTTCATAATGTCTAATAAAGACAGTGTTTAATATGATATCCGAACGAGAATAATTGTATAATTTTGAACTTATTTTAATCACAGGACTTATGGGACTCAATCTGACTAAATCGAAAAGAGTAAGTATTTCTTAAATAATCAACTTCAATAAAGTATTTACACACAATTTATTGATAATCATAATTTGGACGGTTTTAGTTTTCTTGTACCATATGTAAATATTGTTACAATACGGCCCAGACAACGCTAAAAATAACAGTTGCTATTTATCTAAGTCAAAAAAATCACAACCTCCTCATACGTAAAATTTATCTTATGTCAAGGCACAGGCACTGCCTATTATAGATAAAGTATGTTTTGCTTGCATATGTAATTTCTAGCTTTCGATATTTTTGTAAATTTGTATTTTTCGATAAAAAAATTCTCAAAAAATTCTACAAAAAAAAGATGCGCCAAGTTCTATACCACACATATATAATTTCATCCTGTAATTGAACTTTAGTTGTTTTTTTTTTAAAAAAAAATATTAGTTGAAATTTCTTTATTACAAAATTACAAAATGAATCTATTATCTATTCTATCTATATTGTGTATTTTAATTCTGATATTTTATCTACTTTTTCTATCTTTATGGATAATTCCAAATTCTGAAATTGTAGATAATTACATAAATTCTATGGTCTTTATGCCAAACTATAACAATGATACATTTAAATACAATGTAGGCGTTTATTACCAACAAGTTTCATATACTAGTATTATTTGGCTTCAGCAGTATCGCAGGACTAATTTTCAATGTGGCCTTTTACGGAGTAACTTCTAGGCTTAAATTCAGAACAACTTGCATTTTTGATGATCTTTTAATTCTAACATGCCTTCTAACGCCCATGTTCTCATGGTTTTTTACTGCAAAATTAGCCTCTATATTTTTTAACGCTCCCACCATAATTTGTTTATCACTTTTTATATTAATGTTTTTGACTATCCTTTTATTTATTTTATGTTTGGTACGTTCTTTTCATTCTGTACTCTTATTTACTTTCTATAGTTTTACTCCTTCAAACAGTCCAATTAATAATCTTGAGTACTATAGCTATTTTAAAACTTTTATTATAGTGATTTGTTTTGTTAATTCAGTTCTAATAATTGTTTTTGACACATTACGAATCATCGACAAAGTTAAAGTTAAAAACTTGTCAGTTTCTGTTATTTTAGACTTAGAAGGATTAAGTTGCCTTATAGATATAATTTATCTCATTTTATTCTTTATTTTACTTTTTATTTATATTTCACCTTTAAGGAAAACTCAAGTGAAACTTAGAAAATTTATTTTCAAGACTTATGAAAGATTTATACAAAAAAGAATTTTCTTTTTTGTGATTTTTATTTCTATTGTAGAATGCTTTTTTGAATATGATCTTTATTGTACTCCTAAAAATGTTGATACTATTTTTTTCTTTATTCTTACTACTGTTTTAACTCGTTCTATTTCATCATTCTTTTCTAATGATAGAGAAGTCAGAATTAAAAATATTAAAAAATATGGCGAAATTTTAAAAAACAAAGATCTTGAAGGCAAAAATCTTGATATGCATAAATTTGTTTTCTTACAAATTAATGAGTATAAAAAAGCTTCGGAATTTTTAGGTCATCAAAGACTTTATATAGAAGTTGAGGACAAAGATGATGACCTAGAGTATATCAGAAGCATCAAAGAATTTTACACTGACAAAGAATATAATAAGGTTGAAGAATTTTATTTGGCAAAATTTAACGAATTGGAAGATGAAGAAAATGAAGCTGACGAAGAAAAATTTATGATAGTCAGAAATATTAATGATGAAAATAAAAAGGATATTGTCAAAAAAATTATATTTGAAAAATTAAAAAAACCTGTGGGCAAAAGATTTTTGAAAGAAAAGATTGAAAAGTATATCAAAAATAAAATTAATATTCCAGAAACAAAAATTATAGCTGAAGAATTAGTCAAACATGCAAGGGTTTATGCTAATATTCTTGAAATTGGCTTATTTCAATATATCACTTATTCACATCGCTCAAGGAAAAAAGTTCACACATATGATACCCAAAGAAAGAATAAAGATAATATTAAAATAAAGATAAAAAAAACAAAGGTTAAATGGTTAGTAATTCCTGAGCTTATGGAATCTTATATCAATAGTGGTAGTGAATATGAAAAAAAATTAATAGAAGAAATTGATCAATGTGAACAAATAGAAAAGATGCTTAATCATACAAAGCATATTGATGAGTAAATTTTAATATAGTTTTTATTTATATGTGTAACTTTTCCTTCTACCGGTTTATTTAATAATGTATTATATATGAAATAAAAATTTATTTTTATTTTATTTTATTTATTACTATATATATTTATCTGTTTATTGTAATTGTGAAAATATTTCCAATTATTATTGCTCAATCAGATGACTTTATTTAAACAACTGAACAATTTTATTTAACAAAGCTGAAAAACATATGGG